GGAGGCAACCCAATTTCTTTTAGTTATTTGTTCATTTTTGCTCATTAGTTTAAATATATTTTTCCTTGGATTTTGACTGATTTATGGCTTCAATTTTCGTTTTTTATTATATGGAAAGCTCCAGATTCCGTGCCTTCATGACGTGCCCGCGTCACGTTCGCGGGAAAGGTAAGTATTCAAAAAGAACAAAATTCAAGAACGATTATTGATTTTCTGTTAATCTCTACTTTTGAATTCTAGAAATAAATTTTGTCAATAGAAAATAATAAAAAAAAAAGAGATATATGTAAAAAAAAATTCACAAAAAAAAACAAAATTTTCAAGTAAGTAACAAGAAGAAAAAAAGAGTCTTTCCGTAAAAACAAAAAAAATGAAAAAGCAAAAAGAAAAAAAAGAAAAAAAGGGAAAAAAAAAACACAAATACTATTTTCTTTTTCTTTTCCTTTCTTTCCTTTTCTTTTTCTTTCTTTCTTTCTTTCTTCTTCTTTCTTTCTCTTTTCTTTCTTTCTTCTCGCCTATTTCTTCTCTTGTTCGACCGAATCCTTCGATCCACCGCCACCAGCCGTGACCACCGCCGCACGCCGCGGCACGTGGTTGCCCAATTCCCTCACCACCGTATGCCTCCTCGCTCTCTCTTTCTTCGCTCACAATCACCGCCGAAAGTCTCCCACAGCAGCCGCATGATGCGGCCCAACATAGCTGCCACGTACCGCCCTTTTCTGTCACCCCCATGTCTTGCACGCCGCCCCTCTTCAGCGACAGCTCCCCATCTCCACCTCGCCCTGCCCCTTCCACCTCGGCTAGCGTGCCGCTAGCTCGGCCGCACTAGCAGCGCCGCGCGCCAACGCGTCGCCTCTCCTCCCTGCTCGTGCCTCTCCCACCATCTCTCTCTCTCTCTCTCCAGCCAGACGCAGCCTCCCCCAACACCCCGTGACCACCGCCACTCGGAGAAGCACGTCGTCGTCGCGCTAGCCCCGCCTGGCTCGACGCTGCCACCGTCTAGCCAGCGCCGCTACCCCTTCTCAATTCAAACATCAGTGGAGGTATTTGAATTTCAACCCTCACGTCTTGGTAGTAATAGCTACTGTTTGGGTTTGGGACTTAACTTGTCGGAATTTTACACTTGGCTATTGATTTGGGACCACTAGTGAGCTGTGATTTGCCTGTTCAATGTGAGGGTTTTTGTCTGCTTGGTTCGGGGTCATTTGCGTGGGTTCTTTGCTGAGATTTTGGGTACGATTAATTCTGATATTGCCTATTGAATTGGGAGATTGTGCTGCCTGGTTTCCCTGTTGAGGTTGGTCAAATTTTGTTTAAGTGTTGGGGACATTCTGGCGATTGGTTCATATTGCTAATTTGGGGACCATTGTCTGTGTTTTCGATCGTTTTATTTGTGAACGTAGTTGTCAAGCTGCTCGAAGCCCTTCTTTGGTCGATTGTTGACTTCAGTGGCCGGGTTGAGTACATATCTTGTTGGTATTTTTCTTTGGGTACTCTTTCTTTGCTGGTGGGTGACTACATACTTGGTGCTATTGCTTTACTACTGCGTTGCTCTGCTCTAGAAATTTCTCTGATTTTGGACTGCGTTTTGTACCGTGGTACTGGTTGGAGTATTTTTCCTTGAATTTGTTAAATCTAGCTGGTTGGATATCTGCTTGAATGCAAAAGGTTGTGCCTGCACTGATATTGCTGGATTTTTGAACTGCTATTACTAGAGTTAGCATATTATTGGGGCAATTGTTATGGTTTGACTGGTGGGGCATTTGTTGCAATTTTAGAGTGTATTTATTGAGAGTGTGGATGACCCAACTTTGCTTGTTGACTGACTGAATTGGGTAGTCCCTGTGCTTATTGACGTGACTTTGCTAGTTTCCATTTGTTGATAATAGTTTCTGGTTGTTGGTTTTGGAGTGCAACTGTTGCTTTGTCGACCATATTTGGGTTTGGGTAGCCCGTATTCGCTTTTGATTGTTGAGTTGCGAGGCACCGGTGACTACTGAATTTCACTTGTTGGATCCTATTGTGTCTCTGCTAATTGCATCTGCTGGTTTCTGTAATTGTTGGAGACTTTGTTGAGATTTTGGGTGGACAGAGTTTTGCATTTGCTGGTTGAATTGAGTTGAGATGTCTCAGCACTTGGGTGCATACTTCCGCCGCATCGGTTTCCCTCTACCGTTTCTGCCTACCCCTTCGCCACTCGAGAGGGAAGTTTCATTGTTCTCTTCACTTTAATTACTTTATTACCTCCATTGAGGACAATGTAGGATTTAGGTGTGGGAGGGAGCAGTTATGGTGTTAGTTTTTCTAGTTTTTTAGTTTTCAGATATTTTTCTTTTATTTTTTAGTTTGTTATTTGTCTAATTTTCGTTTACTTTTTGTCATTTATCTGTCTAGCTCCCCTATGACTGCCAAAGTTTGATGTTGGATTGTTGCCTCTATTTCTACTTCTGCCAAGTTTTAATAATAAGAATGTATCAAGTTAATGTGGTTGAATCCAAGAACATCTCTTTAGTGAATATCGATGATTGTTTTACTCTTATAATTTTTGGTTAATTTTCCTAAGTATAGGGAATGATTGTTGGCATTTTCATGTGAATTGGTCCGGTTATTAACCTTAGTTCTCCATGTTTGAAAATGAGGCTAGCTGATGTAAATTCTTTTTTGATTTTTGTGTTATTTTGAGTTTTTGCGTTATTTAGCTGATAATAAGAGTTGACTGTACTCCGCTAGTCTTTCCTACCGAGTAACCGGGGATCTTCATCAAAAGTGTCGATTCTCGCGTCAAAAATAGTAATTGTTATGAGTACGTGGTCACGTGGCGATAGAAGCTGAGTAACCGAGCTCTTTCATCTAACAAATGTTAGAGTTCGCGTCAAAAAACTTACATGGCCAGCGACAAAGTCTTTTGTTACTATTGAGAAAAGAAAAAAATCAAAAAAAAGAAAGAGAAAAGTAGAAAAATGTGAAAAAAAGTGAAAGTTGTGTTAGCGTATAATAAAAGTCAGCTTGCCAATTTATGGATTTAATGTTGAGATTTTGGTTAATAGTTGGACCATTTGCTGATAAATGTTGTGTGTCATTCCTTTTTCTTAGATTAGTTAACCTGAAATTAGAAGAGTTTGTGATTTAGAAACTAACCGGAGTGATGTTTCTTGGACTTGACCATTGATGCTTGATTATATATTTTTCTTGATATCTTGGCAGTATGGTAGATAGAGCAATAGCCATTGTCAAATATTGGTGTTTGTTTACTGTTCTCATGCTTGAGGACAAGCATGGTTTAGGTGTGGGGAAAATTGATAGATTGCAATTTTATCATTTATTTTATAATTAATTTTTCCTATTATCTGACTCGATGTGAATTAATTGCTAAATTCTACTCACTTTTAGTTATTTCATTTATTTCAGAGAGTAGAACGAAAATATGATAACAAGTGCCAATTTGATAGAAAAAGAGTCCAAGTAATAAAGCTTATTCCAGGGGTATTTATGGAAAAGGAGAACTTTTGCCCATTTTTGGTATTTTACTGAAGAGGGCAACGGACGGAAAGTCTTCTTCCTTTCGTGCGGCGGACGCCGCACAGTAGGAGTAAGCAATTGGATAGAATAGGAATTGAGTAGAGAATGAGCACTACCTTTTTGTCTTCTTTAGTTTTTCGTCTTGTAGGGTAGCATGGAGCTTTGACTTTTCCTTCCTTTGCTTCTTAGTAGTAGTGGCCTTCTCGGATGTCAGGAGGAATTGAAGCATTGAATCAATTTCCTGTAGCTTTTTCGTTTGATTTTTCCTTGTGGTCTGTAGTGGATTCCTCTTGCCACATAATGGCCGTAACTATCACTTCAGTTCTGCATGGGTTTTTCTCATCAACAATGAGTTAAACCCCTTTTTCTAGTCAAGGGACAACGGATGTTTTGGATCGCCTAAAATTGTGAGATCGATTTAATTTTATCTTTTTCTTTTATTTATTGGTATTCGCATATATCCTGGTTACAGTGCTTATGATTGTTTAATTAATTGATTGTCTTGGATCCGGATAATTAGTTAATTTGATAGTCTATTGTCAATTGGGACGTTAAATCCGTAATTGTTTAATTGTCTCAAAATAATGATAACTGGCATGATTGGATTTGTGTCAGGGGAATACGCGGGCTAATCTAAAATAACCCTGGTAGTGCGTTATTTGGTTAGAATATGACTCCTCTAATACGTAAGGCAATTGGAAAATTAAATCTTATGGGCGTACCTAGGATTATTTCTCAATTAGAGCAGTGATTAACGGGCGTACCTTAATTACCGACACAGTAAGGAGGGGTTGACTGCCATCGCTTGTTTGGTAGTTATAACCTATTTATTGATAAATAATTGGGATTGTCTTTGCTTCGATGATCAATTAGGTGCACCATTGCTGAAGTTATTTCTTGGCTAGATCCTTAATTATCACTCATTTGATTTTAGTAATTTGTTATTTAATTTTTAGTAGTTTCTTAGATTTTATTTGAATTTATTTGATTGTCACTTTCTGCACAAAAACACCCCTTGTCACTGTGAATTTGGAAAGGAACAAGTACTCCCAGTCCCTGTGGATTCGACCCTACTTACCACTATCTACAGAAATTTACTTTAGTTGAGCAGGTTTTTATTATTGCACAGGCTTCGACAACCTGTCATTTGTGCTTTACTCTTCTATTATTTCTACGTTGCGCATCTTCCCTTTACAAATATATGATGCCTGATCCTATGTTTTTTGAACATGTAGTGTGCTGTTAGCTAGCAAAATCAGCCTATGAAATTGATTATTCATGTTATGGCTTTATCTTTTGTTTGCCAAACTTTTGCATGTATACTGTGGCTGCAGATTCTATTTAGTTTGTTGCCTTACTAATGCATTTGTACTTGAGATGGTTGATTTTTGCTAAAAATGTGTTTTACACCTTGGATCCCATTGCTGGTATTTGAGGAGTTTAAATTTAGTTCATATTACATTGCATTTGTTTTCTATATAATGTGGCGTCATATTCTTTATGGTAGGATAAAGGGCTGCAACAATATGGATAGGAGTTGGATGTCTATTAAGAACTACCTAGACCCCAAGTATTTAGATGGAGTTGATGAATTTATTAAGTTTGCTTTTCTAGGCAAGGATCCTAATTGTAAACTGCCATGTCCTTGCAAAGTATGCAATAATTTTGAGGATCAAACTAAGGAAGTCATGGCCAATCACTTGTGTCGAGGAATTGTTGATAGTTATACTAGGTGGATATATCATGGCGAAGGGTTTGAATCTGATGATGAGAATGATGACATAGAAATAAATGACAACGATAGTGACTTTGACAGTATGGAGGAGCTGTTAAATGATGTAGGAGTTGCTAACTTTGGTGAGAGTTGGAGACATTCACCGGAACTTGATACGGGTGCTTGTACCGAGAAAGAAGGAGAAGCAAGTAGGTTTCTCAGATTATTATCGGAGGCTGAAAAATCTCTATACCCGGGCTGTGAAAAGTATTCAAAACTCTCGTTTATTGTCCATATCCTCCACTTGAAAACAATGAATCGGTGGACTTGTAAATCTACTGATATGTTGCTGAAGTTCTTGCATCAAGTATTTCCTACAGCTTTGATTCCCAGTTCATATTACGAGGCAAAAAATTTCATCCGTGAGTTGGGGCTGAAGTGTGAAAAGATCCACGCCTGTGAAAATGATTGCGCACTTTTTTGGAATGAAAATAAAGGCCTTGATCATTGTCCAAATGAAAAATGTAAAGCACCGCGGTATAAATCTCCAAATTCCAAAATACCTAGAAAGGTGTTGCGTTATTTTCCATTAAAACCAAGGCTGCAAAGACTGTTTGTGAACAAAGAGATTGCTCGGGATATGAGGTGGCATAAGGAGAGACGTGTAGATAATGAGAACATGATGCGACACCCTGCTGATTCATTAGCTTGGAAGGATTTTGATAGAAATCACAAGTCCTTCGCTGAAGATCCTAGAAATGTGAGGCTAGGACTTGCTAGTGATGGCTTTAATCCCTTTGGAACCATGAGCAATTCATACAGTATATGGCCTGTTATCCTTGTTCCTTACAATCTACCTCCTTGGAAATGCTTAAAAGATCCATTTTTTTTCCTATCAATGATTATTCCTGGTCCCAAAGCACCTGGAAATGACATTGACATATTCTTTAGACCACTAGTTGATGAGTTAAAAGAGTTATTTGCCACTGGTGTGGAGACATATGATGCCTTCAGGGAGGAGAAGTTCATGTTACGTGCAGCACTTTTGTGGACAATAAACGATTTTCCAGCATATGGCTATTTGTCGGGATGGAGTACAAAAGGGTACAAGGCATGTCCTGTGTGCTTAGATGAGACGACTAGTCTATATCTTAATAATGGTCACAAATGTTGTTACATGGGCCATCGCCGTTTTCTGCCTATTGATCATAAATGGCGTCGAGAAAAAAAAATTTAATGGAGAAAGAGAACATAGACAGCCTCCTAGGACCCTATCAGGTGAGGAAGTCCTCCAACAACTTCTTCGTATTGAGCAAGTTGAGTTTGGCAAGGCACCTGATTTGCTGCAACAGAAGAAAAGAAAACGCGTGCAGAACAGTTCAAATTGGAAGAAGATGAGCATATTCTTTGAACTTCCATATTGGAGTACCAATAAAATTAGACATAATTTGGATATTATGCACATTGTCAAGAATGTATGTGAATCTTTGGTAGGTACATTAATGAATATCCCTTCGAGAACTAAGGACACATGGCAGGCTAGGGAGGATTTAAAAGAAATGGGATTAAGGGAAGAGTTGCATCTACAACCGGGAGGTGGCGCATCTAAAGTTATGCCACCTGCATGTTACACTTTATCACGCCTAGAGAAAAAGAATTTCTGCCAGTTTTTGAGCACTATCAAGTTCCCGATGGCTTTGCTTCAAACATTCCTCGGTGTGTGAAGACCAAGGAGTGTCAACTTTTAGGAATGAAGAGTCATGACTACTATGTGTTCATACAACGACTTCTTCCACTAGCAACTAGAGGAATGCTGTCAAAAGATGTATCTCAGATTTTAGTAGAGATCAGCAATTTTTTTCGAAAAATTTGTTCTCGAACTCTCTATCTAGATGAGCTGGAAATGCAGGAAAAAAATATTATTTTAATACTATGCAAACTTGAGAAAATTTTTCCTCCAAATTTCTTTGATGTAATGGTCCATTTACCCACTGAATCCAAGATTGCTGGACCAGCCCAATACCGGTGGATGTTTCCATTTGAGAGGTACATGCCTCTTATTTTTAATAATGCCTATTTGATTTACCTCCAATTTTCTTATTTTCTAACAACTCGGGCTGAATTTTTTTTGGATAGAAAAATGGGTCAATACAAAGGCTATGTGAATAATAGGGCACGACCTGAAGGCTGTATAGCTGAGCGCTACTTGGATGATGAATGTCTTACATTCATTTCCAGGTATTTGCATGATGTTCCGACCAGGTTTAATCAAACGGAACGAAATATGGAGAAACACGAAGCTGCTGGAAAATTATCTATATTTTCTAGCTTGGCTCGGCCCTTTGGGGCAGCACTGATTGGTTATCTAAGTGAGGTTGAATTGCAAAGAATACACCTGTTCATCTTGAAAAATTGTGAAGAAGTAGATGATTACATGAGGTAATAATATACTTTAATGCTAAATCTATGCGTGTTCTATAATATGTTCTTCATTGCTTGTAATTAAAGTCATTTGATAGAATATGTAACTACTTCTACTACACAAATTTAGGGAGCATAGACAAATTCTTGAAAAGCAAAATTTATCGAGCGTACAGCAAAGGCTAGACTCGGAGTTTCCAAAGTGGTTTGAAGAACGTGTAAGTATTGGAAGAGATGTTAAAAACTTGTCAATTTCCTTTACTTTTTATTTTAGTAAACTATTAAAGAATCTGGTATGGCTGATGTAGGTCATGTATACACATGCACGTGGAGAATGTACTGATGAATTGTTGTCCTTGGCTAGAGGACCTGATTTTCGAGTCAATACATTTGCTGGCTGTAATGTGAATGGATTTAGATTCCACATTAAGGCTCGGGAAAGAGAAAGAAAGACACAAAATAGTGGAGTTATGGTAAAGGGGAGCATGCTGATAAAGAAACATACTTCTATGGTATAATTACTGATATAGTTGAGGTTGAATACTCATTTACTCAAAATCGAGTAGTTGTGTTTAAATGTGATTGGTGGGACTTGAGAAATAATTCGGGAATCAAAGTAGACAAGCAGAGCAATATCACTAGCATCAACATGTCAAAAACATGGTACTCAGACCAGCCTTTTATATTAGCATCCCAAGCTGAACAAGTTTTCTATCTTCAAGATATGAAGCTTGGAGGTAATTGGCATGTTGTAGAGTTAGTTAGTCCACGCTCATCTTATGATGTTCCTGAGAAGCATGAAGATGATTTGGTTGATAACGAAGAGGCTTACCAAGAAGAGTATCATGAAGATTTGATTGGTGTACAAGAAAATCTTGAGTTGGTCAGTTTGAAGAGAGGAGATGTGCAAACTGAAGAAAGGATAGAGGCTGGTGCTATGTTTTTTATAGAATTGTCAGCTAGCCGTGCAAGGCAATTGGATGACAATTTTATTGATAATGATGAGGAAATTGAGCAACAATTCAATTCTGAGGATGAAAATGAACAATTTGTACAAATCGATGACTATGAATCAGATTAAACAATGTTGTTCATTGAATTTCTTAATCAAATTTTTTCTTGTATTTTTTTGTAGTTTATGATATGTTGTCATGGCTGCTTGTGTTGTTTACGATTTTGGTGGTGCTTGCGTTATATGATTATGTAGATAGATGGCTGGACCGGGGAAAAAGGGAAAATTTACTTTACGACAAAGTCGGGATGCTGGGCGAGGAATTGTGGAGCAAACTGAAGAAAATGTAAGCTGTCAGGTAAAGAAACAAGAGTCATTTCCAGATATTTTCTTTTTTCCTAAACTAGCAATTATCATCCTAAACTAGTTACTATTGATAAGCGCATTCTTATGTTATTGTAGCAAGCTAGTGAACCAAAAAATAGTGCAATTCCCAAGACAAGCAATGTCACTGAACCTGTATTAACAAAAAAGTCTTCTAGGATCCGTCTATTTGATGAATCTGAGGTTAGTTATTATTTTTTTCAATCTGCCATTTAGATAAACTGGTTTATGACAAAGCAATTGATTCAACTTTTACATGTCGCTGTATAATGGTGGCTTAAATTGCTGGATTATAGATTCCTAGTGCATCCTCTGCTAGAGAAAATGCTACAAGAAATTCAGGTATACAAGCTGAGAGTAGACAGATTGCTGAAAAATCTTCAGGCAATGGAATGACATCACAAGAAGCTGCTGGGATGCAAACTGATGGAACTCCTACTTCACAGCATGTTGGATCTAATCAAGCTATTGGTTGTGAAAGCAATGAAACTGAAAGTATGCAAGACCTTGAGTCAAACGGTTCAGGTATGTCAGTTTTACGTGTAATTCTACTCTAATTAACTAATTACTGCCATGGCTGCTATTGTTAGCACTTATGGTCTTGTTTACTTTGTATCTACTAGACCAAGTGACGTTAAAAAGAAAAAGAGGATATACGCGTAATATTGCACTATCAAATGAAAAGAAAGCTGGAAAAAAGGTGAACATTACTGTTTCTGAAATAAGTGGAAGACTAGTTGGAGAAGGTGCTCAGCGATACATTTCAGAGGCAAGCTGCGTTATTCGAAAGTATGGCAAGTGGAAAGCACCTAAATGGGGCAAGCTTCCTAAAGATGATAGAGATCAACTGCTAAGAATTACTAATGTAAGAATCTGCTATCATAGTATTTTTTGGTTTTCTAGACGCAATTTAAATTAGTCCATTAATTTTTTCTGATTTTGATATGTCCTTCTATTTTTAATTCAGAATAGTTTCACTTATGATGGAGGAGAGCATGTGAAACCAGCTTTAATTAAGCAATTAAATTCACAGTATAGAAGTCGACGTTATAATTTTCACATGCTATTCAAAAAATGTGGCTCTAAGGAGGAAGCTCTTGCACGTCGACCAGAATATGTGGAAGAATCAGATTGGATTTACCTTTGCGATTACTATTGTAGTCCAGAATTCAAGGTATGTGTAGCACATACTTGTTAATTTGCTATATACTTTGCCAATGTCTCTTTTTTATCTAGATCTGAGATAGAATTGACAATTGTAGGCCTTAAGTGAGCGAAATAAGCTGAACAGATCAAAGCAGCAAACTGCCCATACAGCTGGAACAAAATCATTTTTACGTCATAAGGATGACCGGGTCAGTAAACGTGTAAAGTAGTTCATTTATGATGTGTGGTTGGGTTATTTAACCTGTTTTGCTAATAGGAAGCTAAGGAGGGAAGGACAGTTGGACCAATTGAACTTTATGACATGACACATTTTAGTCGAAAGAAGAATGCTATGGTTGACGAGACATCAGCTGAAAAACTGGTAAGAAAAATATCACTTTCAACTGAATACCAATGCTTCATGTCTCTTATGCATATATCAATAATAGCAAACCTGTGATTGTAGAGCAAAATGAAGGAGTTACAGCTAGAAGCTCAATCTAGTGGTGTAAATCGAACCGAAGAAGACATCTGTATTGAGGTGACTGGGCGTATAACTGGATATGTACGTGGTCGTGGCCCCTCCAAGGCTAGTTTAATTACACAAAAACTTGCAGAGATAGAAGAATTCAAGAAAAGGGCAGAACAAGCTGAGAAACGATCAGTTGAATTGGAAGTTCAAGTCCAATCTCAACAGCAGCTGATGCAAAGGCTTGAGAATCAACAAGCTGAAATGCAAAACCAGCAGCTTGAAATGCAGGAACTCCTTAAGGCTTTACGAGCAGAATTGCAGTCCAAGAACCAAGGCAATGGAAATGCATCTGGTAGTAATAGCTGGTAATGCATCCTTCTCATACGAATAATTGAATTACAATACTAATGTGAACTGTTGCTATTCTGATCCTTTAACTTATTGATTTTGGGGCTGATGTTATGCATCATTGTGGACTGTTTTTGATAATAGCATTTTTTGGGGCTGATGTGACCTGTTTTTGGGTAACTTGTGGTCACTGTGGACTGTTTTTTGGTAATAGCTGGTAATAGCATTTTTTGGGGCTGATGTTATGCATCATTGTGGACTATTTTTTGTTATAGTTGTGTAGTTTATGGTTATGGTTATGGCTGATCTGTAGTTTTTGGTAACTTGTGGTCACTGTGGACTGTTTTTTGGTAATAGCTGGTAATAGCATTTTTTGGGGCTGATGTTATGCATCATTGTGGACTATTTTTTGTTATAGTTGTGTAGTTTATGGTTATGGTTATGGCTGATTGTAGTTTTTGGTAACTTGTGGTCACTGTGGACTGTTTTTTGGTAATAGCTGGTAATAGCATTT